ATCATGGCCATCCTAAAATGCCCCAAAGGCAAACAGGTGGCAGAGAGATTTTCAGAGCCTGGAGGAATACATTCTACACTTAAACAAGGAGTTGTCTCTAAGAGGTACGATTCTGAGAGGCTGAAATTAGCCCATATATTCTAACATATATATAGAATGTAACCTGTTACATTCTCACAGATCTAAGAGATGGAAAGCTTCCTACATTTATCTAAGCCCAGATATTCCCTTTTTCCTTCAAAATTCCCTTCACATCTCTCAGAATTGTCTTGAGACATGCTCTTTTAAGAAATAGCATCATTCAAAAATGGAGAGACTATACTGAAGCATGGAATTCTGCCTTCCCCATTTCCTATCCCTTAATCTGGGTCTTACTTCCATCAAGGAAGAGGTAGAAGTAATTTTAACATGTGTCTGACATGGCACAGGGTAGTCACATGAATCCAATTTAGTAAATTATGTAAAAGTACTTTGTGAACAGCAGAGCTCTATAAAAAGTAGTAATAGGCTGGGTGTGGTGGCTCACACCTGCAGTCCTAGCACTTTGAGAGACTGAGGCAGGCTTGAGCCCAGGAGTTCTGGACCAGCCTGGGCAACATGACAAAATCCCATCTCTACAAAAAATGCACAAGTTAGTGGGCATTGTGGAGGGTGCCTATAGTCTTAGCTACTTGGGAGGCTGAGGTGGGAGGATCACTTGAGTCCAGGAGGTTGAAGCTGTGGTGAGCCGTGATGGTGTCACTGCACTCCAGCTAAGGAGGCAGAGTGAGACTCTGTCTCAAAAAAAAAAAAAAAAAAAAGGTAGTAATAGTAGTATTACTACATTCTTTAATATTATCTACATACTTAATGTCATTTAAAAAAAAATGTCCGGCCAGGTGTGGTGGCTCATGCATGTAATCCTAGCACTCTGGAAGGCCGAAATGGGTGGATCACTTGAGGTAAGGAGTTGGAGACCAGCCAGGCCAACATGGTGAAACCCTGTCTCTACTAAAAATACAAAAATTAGCTGAGCATGGTGGTGTGTGCCTATAGTCCCAGCTACTAGGGAGGCTGAGGCAAAAGAACTGCTTGAACCCAGGAGGCAGGGCCTGCAGTGAGCCGAGATTACGCCATTGCACTCCAGCCTGGACAACAGAGCCAGACACCATCTTGGAAAAAGAAAAGAAATATCCACCATTAGCACTTCCATCTGAAAAGGAACTTTTACAGGTTAAAGTGCAAAAATTCTGATGGCAGGTATATAGGGGTAAGCTATTTTCTGTATTTTTCTCTATATATAAAATATTTGAAAATTAAATTTTAGAAAACTTAAATGAAAACAGAAAATAAATGCTTTCTAAAAGCTTGGCACTCTAGGTCCATCCATGACAACAGAGTTAGTATCAGCATCTTTAATATCACGAGAAGTCACTGTGAGCCTGTTCTCCAAGTACTAGGTCAACATTCTTGAGAGGTAAAGCCCACCTTCAAAGTAGTGAAAGGCGGATCCTCCAGGGGAACTGGGAGGGGGCATGCCACGTTCAGGGCTGACCTGAAACACACAACCACAGTTACAGATCAGAAAAGACCAGTGAGACCTCTGTCAGATTTGTCTTAGACTTCAAGTCCTGATTGAAGCTCATTTCCTTCCTAAAGCCCAACACAGCTACAGCATTCTCTATTACATATTATATCACTAAATTCTTCGTGTTTAGCCGTATATTTGACACTTGATTACTGAGTTCAATTGTCCTCAGTGTTTTGTGTTTTTGCCTTTTCTCCATGAGTCAATTATATACTTCTTAAGGGCACCAACTGTCTTCCAGGCAAAATAGAATTTGGCACCCAACTGCTATGAAACACATACTTTATGACTATGAAATCACTTATAAATCTTATGTTGGGGACTAGCCTCAACACCACCCATAGGGTATTTGAAGTTTGGTGGCGACAAAGGAATGAGAAGAGACAAGTTAAGAGTTTATAAAGGTGGCAGCCAGGGGGCCAGAGGAAATCAGAGGCTGCAAAGGCCTAGAGTTTTGTTTTTTACACTATTTATTGAGTACAATCACTTAGATTTAAGAAGCAGATGTTTAGGGTGAAACGGTAAAAGGGAGGCAGTGTGTCATGTGTGTCATCTACAGTAGTGGCAGTTTAAATGAATTTTTTTGTGTGTTTAAACAGTATATTTTTAACTTATTGGAGAGTAGTTAAGTGCGAGCGTGCTTAACTAGGAGTTTGTATGTTTGGCCATATTTTAATGTTTTAAAGGAGTGTTGTTTTTTTTTTAACACAGTGTTTACGGATAAGAAAGTAAGTCCTGCTCAGAGTATGGGAACATAACGGCGATAAGAAGGCTTTTTTTTTTAAAAGGCCTTTTGTGGCTTTTTACACCTTACTGTTTTATATTTTTACGGCCAGTTTATACAGGCTCTCTATAAGCCTTTCCCCCAACATCTTAAGAGGGACAAGACAAGTCTGTATTAAAGAGAATTCTAGTGAAACATTTCACATTACTTAAGTTTACTCCAACTACAAAGAAGAGGGATTTTCTTTGCAGGGGAGCTTAACAGGGTCTTTCTCCTCTGCTCTTTCCCCAGTAGCCCAGGCCCACCTGAGAGATGCTGGACACACTGCTGGTTTTCCTCTTCAGGGTACCCTCCTGACAGACAGTCAGCAGATTGCTGGGGAGGATGGAGCGGAAGTCATTAAAGGAACGCCTTCGAACACCTTCAAGCTCTTCTGGGACACGGAGGGAATGAGGAGGGATTTTTGGAAAGAGCTTTGAGAGGAGAGACTCTTCCATGTTGCTGTAACGCCCAAATGCTCGCGAGATTCCTATCAGGCATGGGATAGCATACTTGCAAAGGTATTCTAGAAGATCAAGTGAAAACATTACAATATGAGAAAGTATCCTGACAGAGTCATACGGTAAGTAGTCATACGGTAAGTACTAACTTGTAACATTGACTAAGATTTCACAATTCACCCACTAGTAACTGTGAAGGTTCAAAATAAGCCACAATAATGAGGTCAACCCCAAGGGCTGGCCAGTGATATCTTCAACCTGTCATTAATAACTTCAGACTATGTCTTCAACACACCCAGCTGCCCTCTTTGGAAGGTCTTCATCTATTCATGGCACATCCAAATCAATAACATAGCTAGGTCATATTATCAAGTACCTTGACTCTAGTTAATACATTTATTCCTCTTAGAAGCATATCGGTAGCCTTACGATACAGAAAAAATGACCTTTGGAAGTCAACTAATCTACCCACAGATGTTACAAGTGAAGAAACTGGGGCCCATAAGGGTGAAGTTACTTGTCCAAAGTGACCCAGCATCTATATAGCAGAGCAATGCGCATGACCCCACGTGGCCTCTGAGGATACTTACACACAACAAATCAAACTAAAATAGGAAGGTTTTCTCCCATCATATACATTAGGTACCCAACAACAGAAAAGACTGGAGAAAAGCAAGCGAAAGAGTAACCACAAAACCATTTTAAGAAAAACGTTAAGGATACTTGTACCTTTGTCTTGAATCTCCAAGGCCTGGCACATCCCCAAGAGGACATGCAAAACCTGCAAAAGCGCTTCTAAAATCTGCAATAGTCAAGGAAACAAGAAAACAAACATACATAAACAAAATTAGGTAAATATCACAAAACTAAGTCAAAATTAGAAGGTACTTCAGACGTTATCTTAACCAGCCCCATATCTGATACATCCCTCCACAATGACCGTGCCAAGTGGCCAACCAGCTGACTTTCCAGGGACAAAACCGTCATTCTCTGGGCTGGTTCAGAGTTCCTCCCAACACTGGGCCAATGTTGTCCTCCTGGGGCTTGTACCTACCAGCCCTTGGGGCTACTTTTTCCTCTATTAACATATTCTGTAAACAGGTATGGCTAATTTCTTATATTTTTAGTACAGATGGGGTTTTACCATATTAGCCAGGCTGGTCTCAAACTCCTGACCTCAGGTGATCCACCCGCCTCAGCCTCCCAAAATGCTGGGATACAGGCGTGAGCCACCACATCCAGCCCATAATTTTTTAAGTTAAGAATTGTTTTTTGTCCTGGCGGGGTGGCTCGTGTCTAAAATCCCAGCTCTTTGGGAGGCTGAAGCGGGTGGATTAGTTGAACTCAAGAGTTCAAGACCAGCCTGGGCAAAGTATCGAAACCCTGTCTCTACAAAATATACAAAAATTAGCCAGGTGTGGTGGTGCGTGCCTGTGGTCCCAAATACTCAGGAGGCTGAGGTGTGAGGGTCACTTGAGCCCGGAGGGCTGAGGATGGAATGAGCCAAGATCAGTGCAGGGGTTCAATCATAGCTTATTGGAGCCTCAAACTCCTGGACTCAAGCAATCCTCCTGCCTCAGCCTCCTGAGTAGCTGGGATTACAGGCATGTGTCACTATGCCCAGCTAATTTTTATTTTTATTTTTGTAGGGATGGGTTTCGCTATGTTGCTCAAACTGGTCTCAAACTCCTGGGCTCAAGTGATCCTCCTGCCTCACCCTCCCAGAACTTGGGATTACAGGCGTGAGCCACCATGCATAACAACGAGCTTATAAATGAGGAAGATACCTAAGTCTTTTTTTGCACCTGCTTCTCCTAAACTATGTAATCTCTACCAACGTAGTTGGTATTTTTTATCTTTCATGTATTCCTACAAAAACTCATGGTATTAGCTTTAGCTCATTGTACAAATCTGTGATTCCCAGCTTTGTGCCTTCTACAAATGAAATCAACTTGCTTTCCAGATCTTAATTCACAGCACTAGCTTGTTTTGCTCCAATGGTAGGAGGGTCTTGCTGGGCCGATACCTCACTGATAACCCTTTGGGACAGTCCTTCAGGCAGTTCTGCAAACCCTCCAAACCATTTGGCCCTCAGCCCATATAATTGGTCCAGGATGTCAGGAAAGGTGCTTGTCTAAAGCCTTTATGAAGATCCACTAGACTGCAACAACTTCATTTCTCTCAACCACCCTTCTTAGAAAACCCAGGCAAAGAAAAAATGAAGTTGGTGTGACATGACTTGTTCATAACCAAGTCAAATCTCTTACATTTTCCTAATATTAAACAATGCTGAATACTCTATGAAAGCTTGAAAAGCAATACTTTTTCCATTTTATTTATTTATTTTATTTTATTTATTTATTTATTTATTTTGAGACCGAGTCTCATTCTGTTGCCCAGGCTGGAGTGCAGTGGCATGATCTCAGCTCGCTGCAACCTCTGCCTCCCGGGTTCAAGTGATTCTCATGCCTCAGCCTCCTGAGCAGCTGGGATTACAGGCTCCTGCCACCACACCTGGCTAATTTTTGCATTTTTAGTAGAGACAGGTTTCCCCCTGTTGGCCAGGCTGGTCTCAAACTCCTGACCTCAGTGATCCACCTGCCTCAGCATCCCAAAGTGCTGGGATTATAGGCCTGAGCCACCACACCCACCCACATTTTCCATTTTATATGTTAAAGTCATGTTATCACCTCTGGTGTTGACCTCTTTATTCTGATAAATTATATTAACAGAAAAGCCTTTAATGTTCAACTTTTAAATAAAAACATATAATTCTAACATATTTAATTATATCTTTAGCCAACCTACAAATAAATGAAGAATCTAAATTAGTCAAAATACATCACTAACTGGGAACATTTAGAATGCAGACAAGCAACTAGGCACTCCTTGGAAGAACCTAGAATACCAGCATACAAAAACTAACTTTCTAAGCGATAAATCTAAGAAGAAGTTGTATGATTATATTCTTTGCTAAAAGAAGAGGAAAGTATGAAATACATGTTTGTAGCATTTCTATCAAAATTAACAAAATCTAAAGAAAGTCTGTGCCCTTAAAGATAAAAGCTTCAGCTACCTAGAAGATTCTCTTCTAGCTGGGCACAGTGGCTCACACCTATAATCCCAGCATTCTGGGAGGTCAAGGCAGGAGGATCGCTTGAGGCCCGGAGTTCAAGACCAGCCTGGGCAACGTGGCCAAATCTCGTCTCTACAAAAAATACAAAACAAATCAGCTGGCGTGATGGTGCACGCCTATAGTCTCAGCTTCTTGGGAGTCTGAGGAGGGAGGTTGCCTTGAGGAGGAAGGTGGAGGTTGCAGTGAGACAAGGTCACGCCACTGCACTCCAGCCTGGATGACAGAGCAAGACTCTGTCTCAAAAAAACAAAAGAAAAGAAAATGATCTTCTATGAATGACGTCAATCCCCAACAAAGAGCAAGAAAAATGAGCTGCCTCTGCCTTTTTCTGCCGCCTACCTTACACGACTTTCTGAAAAGCTGAAAGGGACAGTGCTGCTCATGTCTCTGCAGCGCCTGCCCTTCATTAGAAAAAAGAAAAAGAAAAAAAAAGAAAAGTTGAATAAGATAAGACTCATGAGATCCTAAAGAGTACTGAAAGACCTAAACATGTCTTAGGTCTGCTATGAACAGGATGAAACAGATAAATATCAAAAAGCAATCTGGCCACATTTCACATTTTAAAAATCTTTTCATCACTTTGGGACTCTATTCAATCTAATAGAAATGCACACCAAATCAACACATGCTTACCTCATCCCTGAGTGAAGGATCCCTATAGGCCACATCAGACAGCAGAGTTACCAAGCAGAAGCTGAAGCTCTCTGCAACTGGGAGGGCACCTGGAAGATGTAAAAACAGTAATCAGATAACCAGGAACCAGATACTGGGTCACACCTCTGGCCATTCAACTCAGTATGTTCCCTCTCACCATGACCTGCCAAGGGACCAGTTTACAGCAGCTCCCCTCCTTGAGACAAGTCTCAAAAGAACAGCTATGGGCCCAATGAGTTTGCTGAGAAACACCCCTACCTTTCCTTTATGTAAATGTTTTGGTTCAATAAACTTAAATGTTTCCTGAGCCAAGAGCCAGTGTGAGATAACAGAGCCTCTCAACATGACGGATTCAACTTTTTATTCCCTAAGTAAATGTGAGAAATCACAAAAAAATTAAAAAATAATAATAATAAAATTAAAAAAAAAAA